GTTAAGATGAGCAATGGAAGCACTACTGTTCTGTCTCTCTCTTCATCAGACACTGTATCAACACTGAGACAGCAAATTGCTGAAGTAAAAAATAACGAAAATAAACTTCATTTGACCCTTTAAACATCTCCTTAGTTCCTGGAGGCTGATATTGATAGCTTTTCAATGACCAGTGGGTATCCTCGTACAGACCTCACGCCTGAGCTTGACGATACTTCCCTCAGTGACCATGGGCTAGCACCTTCTGGTGTAGTCATAGTAAAATTTAACAACGTAAGAAGAATATTTAAATATAAAATAAGTTTGTTTTTGAGCAGAAAGGTGGTTCCTTGTTTTCACCAAGTGGCGATGGAGGAGTGTTAGCAACAGTCTGGGGTCTGTTTGCTGCCATTATACAGTTTATTGTAATGATATTTAAATACATTAAGGACAGTATATTTGGTAGTGGGTCTGGATCAACATCTCAACAATCTTCACAAAGAAGGTATTTAATAATAATGATAATAAATGCTTTTAATTTTACATTATGCCAATTCAATAACTTTTAAAGCCTAATTAAAATTTGGGTATTATTGTTATTATTTATAATTTTTATTTTCTAGTTCCATCAATCGTGGCAGTAACCAACGTTTCAGGAAGTTCAATCAAGATGATTTCAAAGATGATGACGATGAGAAAAGGAAAGAAACGTACAATGGAAACTCAACGCAACAGCTGTAGCACACGCACTGTTACCCTGCCAGATAACATTATGGACTATATGCATGCTTGTTAACTTGTGATATAGCGTGTAATTATTTTGTTAAAATAACTTGATTCACACACAAGTTCTAAAGTTTAAAATGGACTCTTTTCTTCTTAACGTTTTCCTTCACTTGCGATTTGATTTTAGCCACATCAACAACCACAGCTGTATCAAAAATAAAAAACGCCATCAATCATACAGTGCATGTCTGTATACTATAGTGTACTTTCAGTATACTCCAGTATATGTTAGTATTACTGGTAGAAAAATACGCAATATTAAACATGTCATGATACCTTCAGGCTGTTTCTCTGGCTTGTGTTTCTTTGTAATTGGTTCTTCTGCTGGAGCCTTCAAACTCTCTTCTCTCTCAAGCTTTCTCTTCTTTGATGCTTCAACACGTTGTTTCTATGGCAGCTATACAGTAACCATATGGACAATTAAAGTGCTAGAGTACTTTTCTATTTTCTTCTTTCCTTTGTTGTCGTTCTTTCTCTTTCATGAAGTATTCACCGCTGGCCAGTTCCTTATCAACCTGTGAATAAAAATGAAATCATACAGTACTATAAATATAATAGGTGTTAGGAAACTAAATATCAATTTGGCAATGAATTATTTGTGTTGATAATTATTCACGTTGTAAATTTCCCGTTATTGTATGATTATGAAATTAAAAAAACAAATTACAATTTGCAATTGCAAACCCTCGCTAGCATTTTAAGAAGACCTAATGTGGGAAGTCTTTATCATATTACTATGTGATCAGTTATCAACCATTCCTATAGCTAACAGAGAGAGGTAGTTCTGTTTGATAGCTAACAAAGAAGAATGATAGTCCAGTTCCTAGCAACACAAATAGCCTCATGTATCAACCATTCTCATGCATTGCTAACAATAAACAGAGGCAGCTCCCTACTACATAGATAATCCAACAAAGAGAAATAGTTCCAAGCAACTCAGGTAGCTTGACTGTGTCAACCATTTCTATAGCCAACAAAGAAGAAAGGCAGTTCCTAGCAGCCTGGCTGTATCAACTGACCCTCAGCTACGAGCCTATAAGAGGAGATCACAACACTGACAGTGTCAACTACTCTATAGTTGAAAGCTAGCATAAAAGACAAAGCTCAACCCTGCACTAAGAGAAGAACTGCCTATAATGAATATCAAAGATAAGAAAGCTTGGATAGTCCCTCTTGGAAGGGATCACCAGATGCTCAGTCCAAGATGATATAAATAGAGGCAGGCTGGAGTGATCCATTACAATACAATATCTTGTCATTTATCAAATAATGCAAGTACTAGCTTTGACTGTTCTTTTAGTGGCTGCAACAATAAGTACAGCAACTAATG